TGCCACTGCACTCCCGCCTGGTCAATGGAGTGAGATTCCAACTCAAAAAAAGAAAAAAAATAGTTTTAGCAGTCAGCTAGACGTCTTTGTCGTTAGAGGTTACAAATTGGTGCTATTCGAATTCTATTATTATTTCTGAGTTTTCCACTTGGAATTCTATAAAGAATTTTTCCTCATCAGCTATTCATTATGCTGAGGCAAGTTCCTGAGGAAAAAACAAAATGAATACTTGATTCTTTCCCTTTATGTTTTAGTTTTCAGAATAATGAGATGAGATCCTAGCATCTTCTAAAAATGACCAATTAGGGTTTTATGTGCGTGTTTGTCATGAGCTTCTGGATTTTAACATATTTGGTGTATTTTAATCCATTTCAGTTATTGTTCTTTTGATATTCATATTGTTCCATCTTCAGCCAGTGGATGCTCCTTCCAGTTGACACCTGTGTTACTTTTTATTTATTTATTTTATTTATTTATTTTTGAGCCAGAGTCTCACTCAGTCACCCAGGCTGAAGTGCAGTGGCACACTCCTGGCCACCTCAGCCTCGACCTGCTGGGCTCTGGCAATCCTTCCACCTCAGCCTTCCAAGTAGCTGGAACTACAGGTGTGCACTACCACGCCCGGCTAATTTTTGATTTATTGTAGAGATGAGGTCTCACCAAGTTGCCCAGGCGGGTCTCGAACCCTCGGGCTCAAGCAATCCACTCACGTAGGCCTCAAAAGTGCTAGGATTACAGGCTGAGCCACAGAGCCCGGCCCACATTGTGGTTTTAACTTGCATTTTTTTTAGTGGCTAATCATGTTGACCATCTTTTCATGTGCTAATTTACCTCTTCAGTAAAATGTTCATGTCATTTGCCTATTTTCTTTTTTTGGGAGGTGGGGTAAAGTCTCTCACTCTGTTGCCCAGATTGGAGTGCAGTGATGCAATCACAGCTCACTGCAACCTTGAACTCCTGACTTTTGCCCATTTTCTAATTGGAGTGTTTGTTTTTTTGTTTTTGTGAGGGTTTTTTTTTTTGAGTTGGAGTATCACTCTGTCACCCAGGCTGGAGTGCAGTGGCACGCTCAAGGCCACTGCAGCCTCGACCTGCTGGTCTCAGGTGATCCTTCCACCTCAGCCTTCCAAGTAGCTGAATCACAGGTGCATACCACCACACCTGGCTAATTTTTTGATTTATTGTAGAGACAAGGTCTTGCCAAGTTGCCCAGACTGGTCTTAAATCCCTGGTCTCAGGTAATCCTCTCACCTACGCCTCCTGAAGTGCTGTGATCACAGGCGTGAGCCACCATGTTTTGTTTTTTACTGTTGATTTTTGAGAGTTTGTAATACATTCTAGATACAGATCTTTGGTCAGATATGTCATATGTCCTTTAGACACACTTCTGGTTGTTTTCTTTCTTTCTTTCTTTTTTGAGTTGGTATCTCACTCTGTTGCCCAGGCTGGAGTGCAATGGCATGTTCATGCCCACCGCAGCCTCAACCTGCTGGAGTCAGGCGATCCTTCCACTTCAGCCTTCCAAGTAGCTGGAACTACATGCATGCACCACCATGCCCAGCTAATTTTTTTGATTTATTGTAGCAATGCAGTATTGCCAAGTTGCCCAAGCTGGTCTCAAACCCCTAGGCTCAGGCAGTCCTCTCACCTCGCCCTCCCAAAGTGCTGGGCCACTGTGCTCAGCCTTTAGTTGTTTTCAATAGTTTTCTTTTTTTCTGGTATGATAAGTGCTCAAGGCTCATCTTGTTGAATAGAATTTTAAACTTTTAGGACAATGTAGAAGTGACATAGAACTATATCATCCTTTCTCATTCTAAAGAAGTTTGGTTATTGAAGAGGACAGAGCAGAGACTTGGTGGCAAACTTCTGGTAAAAACCCAGTAGATCTCAAGGTTCCCTCCAACTCCTCTTCATTGCCAGCACTTCCATCACGTTCATTATTCACTATAGCAAGTGAGTGCCAACATCTAAGCTAGGTGCTGGGAATTAACAGGGAGTTTCTTTTTTTTTTTTTTGAGTAGGAATCTCACTCTGTCACCAAGGCTGGAGTGCCGTGGTATGCTCACGGCCACTGCACCTTGACCTGCTGGGCTCAGGTGATCCTTATGCCTCAGCCTTCCAAGTAGCTGGAACCACAGGCATGCACACCACTCCCAGCTAATTTTTAGATTTGCTGTAGAGCCAAGGTCTCCCCAAGTTGCCCAGGCTGGACTCAAACTCTTGGACTCAGGCAGTCCTCTTGCCTCCACCTCCCAAAGTGCCGAGATTATAGGCATGAGCCACCACGTCTGGTGGGAGTTTCAACTTAAAGAGGCACGTGTTCATAAGGGGGTTCTGTGCAGGAAGCTTCGTGGGCATCAAGAAGGGCCCCTGGCCTGGAGGTCAGGGAAGGCTTTCCAGAGGACAAGATAACTTGGTGCAGATGGCAGGTAAGGCAGGGGGGACAAACCGGACCCCAGTTGAGGTAGATGTTTCAGGGATCCTGTTTAAGTACCTCAAAGGGAGGGAAAGCAGGGTGCATTCCAGGGGTCCTTAAACAAAGACACCTTTGCAAAAGATGGAAAGGAATATAGGTCAATACTTGAACGTGGCTTAATATTGTTTGGGGTTGAGAATAAAGGAGTCAATAGAATTACCTCTTGGTTGCTGTCTCTAAGGGTCCTGAAACTTCCATCGGATTCCTTTTTTGCTTGTTTTTGTTTTGAGTCAGGGTCTCACTCTGTTGCCCAGGTTGGAGTGCAGTGATACAATCATAGCTCTCCGCAGCCTCAAATTCCTGGGCTCAAGCCATCCTCCTGCCTCGGCCTCCCAAAGTACTGGGATTACAGGCATGAGCCACTGTGCCTGGCCTCAAATTTCTTTTCTTTTCTTTCTTTTTTTTTTTTTTTTTGAGTTGGAGTCTCACTCTGTCGCCCAGACTGGAATGCAGTGACCGCTCCCGGCCACTGCAGCCTCAACCGGCTGGGCTCCGGCAATCCTTCCGCCTCAGCCTTCCAAGTAGCTGGAACTACAGGCACGCGCTACCATACCCGACTAATTTTTGATTTATTGTAGAGATGAGGTCTCACCAAGTTGCCCAGGCGGGTCTCGAACCCATGGGCTCAGGCAATTCACTCACCTCAGCCTCCCAAGGCGCGAGATTACAGGCTGAGCCACCGAGCCCAGCTCTCAAATTTCTTTTATAAAGAATTGAAGACCTGGCTGGGCATGGTGGCTCATACGTATAATCTCAGTACTTTGGGAGACCAAGGGAGAGGATTGCCTGAGCCCATGGGTTCGAGATCAGCCTGGGCAACTTGGTAAGACGTCATTTCTACAATAAATAAAAAATTTAGTCGGGTGTGGTGGCACGTGTCTGTAGTTCCAGCTACTTGGAAGGCTGAGGCAGAAGGATCTCCTGAGCCCAAGCAGGTCGAGTCTGTGGTGATTGTGAGCATGCGACTGCACTCCAGCCTGGGTGACAGAGTGAGACTCCAAGTAAAAAAAAAAAATTTTTTTTTTTTTTGGGGGGGACCTAACAGGGAAAGGAGACAGTCAAGTTTGGATAAGGTTCTAAAACACTATCCCGGTAAGGGGCAGGAGTGGCATGGTCTGGCCTGTGGGGTTGGTTCACAATGGTGTTCCCAGTCCTCCTACAAGGTCATGTTCCTGTCTTCCAGGTAAAAGGTGACACACTTAACCTCCCAACACCTGTGTTCTGTCAGTAGTCTCTCCAGCAGTGGAAATAGATTACACTATCCTCATCAGAAGTCCAGGGGGTCTCCTGTGGGTGAGGGGGCATATTACATTAACTCGGGGGTGTTGGGTGAGATTTTAGGTACATTAAAAGAAAACAAGGATTTTTAAAAACCCCAAATTTTAGAAACACCGATCTTATTCTCTTCCCCTAGGTCTCCTTGTGATAATCCTCTCCAAAATCTTTATGTTCCATCTGGCCCTAAAAGTGAGATTTGGAGGCCGTGTGCAGTGGCTCAAGCCTGTAATCCCAGCATTTTGGGAGACTGAGGTGAGAGAATTGCCTGAGCTCAGAAGTTTGAGACCAGCTTGGGCAATTTGGTGAGACCTCGTCTCTATAATAAATTTAAAAAATAAGCTAGGCATGGTAGTACATACCTGTAGTTCCAGCTACTTGGAAGACTGAGGTGGAGGAATTGCCTGAGCCCAGCAAGTCAAGGCTGTGGTGGCCATGAGCATGCCACTGCACTCCAGCCTGGGCAACAGAGTGAGACTCTGACTCAAAAAAAAAAGTGAGATTTGGAGCAGCTTGAATGGATTTAGAGTCTATCATACTCAGTGATCTATCACAGAAACAACAGAGTACAACATGCTCTCACTCATAAGTGGACCCTGAACATTTACCATAATTCTATAAGAAAGGGATTGGCAGTAGCAGGCTACTGCTGCAGTGAGGTTGAGGGGGACACAACATTAATAAGGGTAACTGATCTTAAACCAGGCAAAGTGGAGACCAAAGTGAGGCCCCAACTTTACTTGTACAATGACCATTGTATACCTAATTCTGAATTGTACCCCACATCTTTAAAAAAATAAGTCAGGCTCGATGGCTCAGCCTATAATCCCGTGACTTTGGGAGGCTGAGGTGAGTGGCTTGCCTGAGCCCACGGGTTCAAGACCCACCTGGGCAACTTGGCGAGACCTCATCTCTACAATAAATCAAAAATTAGCTGGGTGTGGTAGCGTACGCCTGTAGTTCCAGCTACTTGGAAGGCTGAGGTAGAAGGATCACCGGAGCCCAGCAGGTCGAGGCTGCGGTGGCTGGGAGCGGCCACTGCGCTCCAGTCTAGGCGACAGAGTGAGACTCTAACTCAAAAAATAAAAAATTAAAAAAAGTTTAAAAAAAAAGTGAGATTTGGTCATCATTCACATAATGTTGGAATCACTGGTGTGAACTAGTTACCATCACCCTCTGGAAGTTATGCAAGACACATAGCGTCAGCAGAAGAGGGATCACAGATCCCTTACCCCCAAAGACAAGGCGATCTGAGAAATAGGTTCACCAGTTTATTTCTTGGTGCTTCCAGAAACTCGTAAAAGCACAGCGAACAACAAGCAAGTCAGTAAAAGGAGATACCTGCTCAGCACGTTTCAACAATTGGTTTGGCTTTGGTGGGTCAGGCTGCCCAGGGCCGAGTGCCATGAGAGAGCAAAGTGAAGCCAGGTCCCCAGGAAGTGAGGCCTCAGACTGCGGAGTGTGAGGGGTGAGTGCAGGCTTCAGATCCAGATGTCAGAGCTGCAGTCGCCCCCAGGGTAGCGAAGCTCGTGAGCCAGGGCTGGGCCCAGGGGCTCCTTCCCAAAGTCTACCAGGAAGTTGGGGTTCAACTTGAGTCCCCCCTTTACTGTGTCGACATCGATCTGCAGCATCACAGAACCTTCCCTGGAGGAAGAGGGAAAGGGGGTGAGGAAGCAGTCAGAGGTGGCTGCCCCCTTCCCCCAAGATTTGCGAGTGTAGGGGTGAGTTCCTGAGGAAGGAGCAGGGTCTGAATGGTGGGGTGCAGGTGGGTCCCTGAGGATTCTTCAGAAAGCCAAATGATCCCTCCAGAGGAGGAGGGCTGGGAAGGTGAGCCCAGATAGTGTGCTTCTCACCTGATGAGATCAGGATAAAACTGCTTGTCCCAGGCACTGAACAGCGACGTGGTGACGTAGAGACGCTTCCCGTCTAAGCTAAGCTGGATCATCTGAGGGCCTCCGGCCACCCGTTTCCCCTTGGGAAAACCAGGGGTCAGACCCCAGGGTAACACCCTAGGAGGGGACCGCATGCACCCCAGGCCCTCAAGCATGCTCAGAGGGCTGCCCCTCCCATATTCCTCAAGCATGGCTCTGAGGGTCCAGTGAGTAGGGGGCGAGGCCTCACCTTGACCACCAGGGGCTCCGGCTGGCATTTGAGCTCCTGGTCCTCTAGCACTTGCACAGGGCCTCCCTTAACAATGCTGCCCCCGAGGAAAAGCTGGGTGGGGAGGCGGAGGATAAGGGAGGACAACAGGGAGGTGTGGACATTGCAGGAAGAGCGGCCTGCTTCCCAGGGATCCCTCACGCCTTTCAGACGTGTTCCCCTGCCTGGCCACGGCCCGGTAGTCCTGGCCCGCGTCACCCTTTAGCCCACATTTTGTTTTTCCCATACCTCTTATTCTCCAGCTGCTTCATACCCTCTCCCCCATCCCAGACTTTCTTCTCCTTCCTCCTCCCTGGTTCCTCCTGCTAGGGATCCCACCTGCCCGGTGAGGTGGGGCCTCTGTGGGTCAGAGACGTCATATTGCCGCAGGTCCCCATGCAGCCAGTTGCTGAAGTACAGGAAGCGGTCATCCAGGGATAGCAGGATGTCCGTGATCAGGCCTGGGGGCGCAGTGCAGGTTCAGAACCTTTAAGGACCCTTGTTTCCCAGGCCAGGAGTCAGCCTGCCGACCCCCCAGGCACTCACCTGGCATTTCGGGCAGCATCCAGCCCTTCACTTTCTTGGGGGGCACCTGGATCACCTTCTCCACTGACCAAGTACCACCCTACATTGGGGAGTGGAGGGTGAGGCTAGGTGGCAGAGAGGGGAGGCTAGGGCTCAGAGCTGGGTCTCCCCAGGCCTGAGAGGGAGAGGGTAGATACAAGGCCTTCTTGCCACTGGGGTCTAAACCATGCAAGCCCCTCAAAGCAGAGATCCTGTCTGCTCCAGCTTTTGAATGAATGAATCAATATAGCCAGTTACGGTTCAGGTGTTCACTGGCCCAGCACTGAGAGAAGACAGGCAGGGCATGGGCTGTCGGTTTCTTGTTCCTGGAGAAGCCTGGGCTGGTGGAGCCTGGGCCGAGGTGCTGACAGCAGGGAGGGGAGGGCGGGGGGCGCGTGTCACCTCATTCTTGAAGAAGCGCTGGACGGTGGAGCTGAGCGCACAGCCCACGAAGCCTTGAGCGGCATCGGGGTTGTGCAGGAAGCGGATCTCCAGGGGAATGAGCCCGTCCTTCAGATGCAGCGTCTGCACGATCTCATGGCGCTGCCAGTCCCACACATGTAAGTGGCTCCCGTACAGCCCTGGGGTGGGTGTGGGCCAGAGGATGGGCTCAGAGGTGGGTGGGAGGGCATGGAAAAAGGCCGGGGCCCCAACCAGGAGAGAAGGTTAAAAAATGGGTTGGAGGGATCAGACAGATGCTTGAGCAAGTCTTAGCACGCAACACATCCTATAACATCATCTGAAGAATTTGGGGCCCAATGAGGAAAGTCAGAGGGATGGAGACGGGTTGGGGTTCATGGAGCAGAAAGCAAGTAGGTGTGGGCTCAAGGCTCCTGCCGGCCCACGAGTGAATTCTCACCAGCCTCCACATCAGCAGGGTTGAAGCCATCTCGTAAGACATTGGGAGCTGCCCATTCGGTGCTGATCATGACGTTGTGTCGAGGTTGGTACCAGAAGTCATAGCCCATCCGGGCAGCACCTCCAGGCCGCTCCCATGTCCCTTTCACCTCGAATGTCTCCCCATCCAACAGCACAAAACCCCCTGAGTAGAGATGGAAATAGGGTAGCAGGTAGAGGCAGTAGAGACACTGCCCCCATCTGGCTGCACCCCCAACAAGTCCAGGAGGCTCCAAGCCCATTGCCTTCCCTCTCCCCTGGGTTGGCCAGCTCCTGAAATTCAGGTGTCCAAAGGGTCCCACCCAGAGGTGGCTGGGAGGGAGGCAAGGACCTCTAGTCTAAGTGCCCCTATCTTTCATCAACTTCACCTCTCTCCCAGACCACAGGAGAAAGTTTTCTCCTCTTGAGCCAAGAGATCTTCTGGAACTCAGTACTCTGTTCTCTCACCTAGCCCCCTAACTTTTGGAGTGGGATGGTCCCGAGTCTAAGCCCCATTCTGCTCACTACAGATTTTTTTTTTTTTAGTTGGAGTCTCACTCTGTCACCCAAGCTGGAGTGCAGTGGCATGATCAGAGCTCACCATAGCCAGGCTATCTCCTGGGTCCAGACCATCCTCCTACCTCAGCCTCCCAAGGAGCTGGGACTATAGGTATCTGCCACCATGCCTAGATAATTTTTTTATTTTTTGTAGAGACTAGGTCTTGGTATGTTGTCCAGGCTAGTTGCGAACTCCTGGGCTAAAACGATCCTCTTGCCTCTGCCTCCCAAAGTGCTGGATTACAGGCGTGAGCCACCATGCCTGGCACTACATTTTTAAAGCAGAATATACAAGTTATATTTACTTGCAGTTCAACAGGAATGCCCAATGTGTTGTTCCCTCGCTGGGTATTTTATGACAACTTGCTACATCCTTGCAAATACAACCAGATGTCGACTCCTAAGTGTTGTTAAGTCTAGAAATGTCACACTCCTCCCACCTCTTGGACAAAGCAATCAGAGTCTAGTGTAGTTAACCTTAGCTGGATGACCTTAACTTATGACCCACTCCAAGCCCTTGGATGGAGGGTTCTGAGCAAATAGTTGAGACTCTGTGAGAAGTAGGACAATCCTGGTGATTAGGACAGATTCTGGAGCCAGCTTGGTGGGTCTGAGTTCCAGCTCTGTGACTTATTACTTGTGTGACCTTGGGTAAGTTACTTAACCAATCTATACCCCAAATAGGGCTCATACTAGCACCTGCCTCATAGGTTGTGCCTGGCACACAGCCAATATTTTATAAATGTCAGCTCTGATCATACCATAAATGAGAGAGCAAACATAAAGATTAAGAATTCCTGACTGGATCCAGTGGCTCATGCTTATAATTCCAGCACTTCGGGAGGCCGAGATGAGAGGGGAGCCTGGACAATTTGGCGAGACCTCATCTTTACAATAAATCAAAATATTAGCCAGGTGTGGTGGCGTGTGCCTGTAGTTCCAGCTACTTGGAAGGCTGAGGTAGAAGGATCACCTGAGCCCAGCAGGTCAAGGCTGCAGTGGTCATGAGCATGCCACCGCACTCCAGCCTGGGCGACAGAGTGAGATTACAACTCAAAAAAAAAAAAAAGAGTCCCAAGGTACCACTGCCAGGCCATTACTAGGCCATTGCCAGGCCATTTGCCATTCCCTTGCTAAGCTATGGAATGGCCACATGCTCTTTGAGCTGTAGCCAGGCCATGTTTTCTTAAACTTTGGCCCCCTCCCCTACCTTGGTGAGGCGAATCTCCTCTTTCTCTCTCTAATTTACTTTCTAAATAAACCATATTTTCTAATCTAAAAAAAAAGAATCCCAGGGCTGTGAGATTTGCTCATGAATTCACAAAGGCTATGTGTTTTCTGGGACCATGTCTGTGATCACATTCCCTATGACAGACTGTTCTGACTGTACCTTTGAACTGAATCCATCAGTCAAGGCTCATCTTCGTAGAAGGAATCAAAACTGACATTACTTGCTCATATTTTAAATACCGGACAGGGCCTAGTCAACTGGTTCTCCCTGGGAGGCCTTTCCATCCCTGGGATCTGTTCCTCCTACAAACAAATGCGTCCCACATCTCATTGCTGTGAAGTGTTCACCAGCACACAGTGCCAGTAGGTACCTTTGCCATTGCCCTTAGGGTCTCCCAGGGAACTGATCATCACCTCCCCACTGGCCAGGCAGTGGCTGGTGTGGAGGTAGGCTAGGTCACACTTGGCATGGATATCCTTGGGCTCGATGACCTAGAGAGGGATGGGCAATGGAGTCAAAATCTTACAGGGCTAGGAGTCCCCACTCTTGACCCTCATACTCTTCTAAATCTTATCTGCTAACCCTGTTCTCTTTCTCTTCAAACATGAACACAGACATTGTGACTCATGCCTGTACTCTCCGCACTTTGAGAGACTGAGGCAGGAGGATTGCTTGAGCCCAGAAGTTCAAGACCAGCGAGGGCAACGTAGCAAGATCTCGTCTCCACAAAAAAATTAAAAAATTAGTTGGACGTGGTGGTGTGTGCCACCACCCAGTAGTCCCAATTCTCAGGAGGCTGAGGCAGGAGGATTGCCTAAGGCCAGGAAGTCAAAGCTATGGAAAGCTGGGATAGTGCCACTGCTCTCCAGTTTGGGCAACAGAGTGAGACCCCTGACCAAAAAAAAAAGCAAAAAACCAGGTGCAGTGGCTCACGCCCGTAATCCCAACACTTTGGGAGGCTGAGGTGAGGATTGCCTGAGTCCATGGGCTTGAGACCAGCCTGGGCAACATGACGAGACCTCATCTCTACAGCAAATCAAAAAATTAACCGGGCATGGTGACATACACCTGTAGTTCCAGCTACTTGGAAGGCTGAAGTGGAAGGATCACCGAGCCTGGCAAGTTGGGGCTGCAGTGACTGTGAGCAAGCAGTGACTGTGAGACTCCAACTCAAAAAACAAAACGAAAACAAAAATGGAAACAACTCTCCTTGTGGGACTATGGCAAATGTTCAGTCTGGTGACCTCTACAGAGCAGCAAGAGAAAGAGAGATTGCTAATAACCCACTAGGCAGAAAGCGCTGACTCTCCGCCCGCCCCACCTGTCCCGAAGGCACTTGCAGCCCTGTGACACTGCAAGCTCCTTCCAGACTGGGCCAATGCCAGTGTCAACGCTGTATCACCAACAGCCGACACAGTGAGTGGCTGGCATCAGGAGGGCACTGAACAAATTGTTGAGAGGAAGGACTGGAAACTCCCACTTAAGAGAAGCCCTGAGCTCATAGCTCGGTGGGAGAAAAACGGTTCTCTCCCTCTTCTCCGAGGCCCTGGCCCATGGTGCTGGATGGTGACAACCCAGTATGCCTGGGAAAGTCTCCTCCATGGTCTAACCACTGAGCCAGATCCAGCACAAGAACCGGAGGCAGCTGGGTTGGGGCTGGCGTCTGGCCTACAGGCTGCCGGGGCAGTAGATGCCTTCTTGTCTCTGAGCCCAACAGGGTAGAAGACGTGCCTTGTGCAACTTCGGACACCGGGGCTCGGAGCCCACGTCCACCACGTAGATGCGAGAGGAGATGAGACTGGGCAGCACCAGCTTGGTGCGGGACTTGGTGCTGTCACCGAAGCAGCTGCTGCAGGTGTTCCACCCCGAGTGATGCAGCTCGTCCTTCATGTTGGGCATGGGCAGCCGGTGGATGACCTAGGACGGGGAAGTGGGGCCCACCCAGTCTGCACCTCTGTCTGCTTTTGGGAGAGGCGCCCCTGGACCCATTGGGGTTGGGCCGCGCAGCACAGGCTGCATTTCCTTGTACAGTGAACAGACTGTACAACCACACCCAGGGAGGACCGAGAGGGATGGAGCTGGGGAAGGGCAGGCCCAGGGCCAGGGCTGGACAAGGGGTCTTGAGGTCGCTGGTGCCCAAGCCCCACCTCACCTGGCTATACTGAGGAGATTTGGGGTCAACATCCACAGTAGCTAGATAATCGGGGGCCTCGGTGGCCGTGTTTCGGTAAATACAGGGTAGGTAGACAATCTCCTCCCGGGGTCCTGTAGGTGGGAAGCAGACAGTGGGGCTGGCAGGGTGGGAAGGGATGGCGGGGGCAGCGCTGGGTGTGCCAGAGGGTGCAGGCCAGGTCTGGGGTCCCCAACCCCACCAGCTGTGTAATCGTCAGAGGGGCACTGGCTCTCAGGCAGTCGGCAATTACCTTTCATGGCCTCCAGAGGGGTTGGGTAGCCGGGTCCACACTTCCCACATTTGGTTGCTGTGGGAACAATGGGGTGCAATTGGCTGGACTGTGCCCTGGAGGGTGAAGGCCCCCTCCCTCCATCCTGCGGCACACACCCTGGCTGGCCAGGGCAGACGTTCTAGCCCCATCACTCTGGCCTGACCTCTCTGTCTCCTCAGAGCCCTGAAGCCTCTGCCTGGTGGACAGACACTCCAGCAGGGTCAGGGAGGGTGGGAGGAGGGCTCGTGCCGCAGAGGTTGTGTGGTGTAGCCACGAGAGCTTGGATCTTGGGCAAGGTACCTAACCTCCCAGCCTCATCCTGCGTCCTCTGTAAAGGGGGTAATCAGAATATCATAAGGGGCTTTTATGAGAAGGAAACAAGAGGATGCAATAAGCGTGCAGTGCTGTGCTTGCCAGGCTGAGGCCCCATGAACCCTGGCTCTTCTTGCATCTCTGTCTCTCCCTCTCTCTCTTTTGAGTCAGAGTCTCACTCTGTCACTCAGCCTGGAGTACCGTGGCCGCTCACAGCCTCAATCTGCTGGGCTCAGTCGATCCTTCTGCCTCAGCCTTCCAAATAGCTGAAGCTACAAGTTGCTCCGGCTGGTCTCAAACCTCTGAGTTCAGGCAATCCTCTTGCCTCCCACAGTGCTGGGATTACAGTTATAAACCACCACTGCCTGGCCTCCTTTTCTCATTCTCTCTCTCTCTCTTTCTCTGGGGGCAGTGCCTGTTCAGCTTCCTTCACTAGGGGATGGAATGCTTTCTGTTTTTCCCTTCTCTGGGTCCTGATCCCAGGCTGCAAGCCAGGGCCAGGATTACATAACCCAGGGTCCTCAGGCCAGTTTCTCAGTTTCTACCCCTGGGTGGGTCCCACTTCCTCCATCTGTGAAGCAAGGTGCTTGACCCAGCTCTGGAGAACTCAGAGGCCCAGAGATGTAGGGAGCGGCCCTCTGTGTCCCTGAAATCTGGCAAGAAAGGCCACACTAATCCCCAGCATCAAAGTCAGCCGTGTGAAGGAGGGCTGGGACCTCACAGCTACCAGAACCCCAGTTTGGGGCCTGCGGGGGAAGGAGGGCTGAAGAATAACACAGAAGCTGTGGGCTGAAAGAAATTGTAGAGTGGAGTTCACAGGCCTGGCACCACCTGTGCCCTGTCCCTTAGCCAGTCTGGCCACTGCTCTCACAGCTGGGCTGCAAGCGGGGAGCAGGAGTAGCTGGAGGACAGCCTCCACTGGCGCCTGGGACCCCCGCTTGTAGCCGCCAAGTGATTTAGGAAGCTGGGCGGCAGTGATAGCATTTTAGAGTCTGGAGACCTGGTTCAAGTCCTGGGTTTGACATCCACTCTATTTCCTGTCCTTGAGTGGCTAAAAGAGAGTAATGATATCCTGCTTACTTCTCTAGGTAGATATGAAGGTCAAATAAGACAATGTATTCAAAAGAACTTTCAAGGCTGGGCCCAGTGGCTCACACCTGTAATCCCATCACTTTGGGAGACCAAGGCGGGAGGACTGCTTGAGTCCAGGAATTCAAAACCAGCCTGGGCAACATAGTGAGAACTTGTCATCTCTACAACAAATAAAAAAATTAGTAGGGCACAGTGGTGCATGCCTCTAGTCCCAGCTACTCGAGAGACTGAGGTGGAAGGATCACCCGAACCCAGGAGGTCAAGGCTGTGGTGAGCGTGACCATGCCACTCCAGCCTGGATGACAGAGTGAGACTCCAACTCAAAAAAAAAAAAAAAAAAAAAGTGTTACATAAAGATGGGCAAATAAAACAATGTATTCAAAAGTGCTTTCATGAAGGTGAGTGTATGAGTAAGGCAGGGCTGTGCTGGAGGAGAGAATGCAAGCAGCACTTGCTGCCTAGAGAGGGTTGAGGTGGGGCAGGGACTGAGAGTTGTCCAGCTCAAAGGAATTAAGGAGATTTGTTCTGCTGCACACCCTAACCATGTCAGGACTTGGCCCAGGATGGGGGCGGGGGGTGCTGGGTGGAGGTTGCTGGACACAGAAGAGAAAGGAGATTTAAGAACTCCAAGACAGCCTGGCTCAGTGGCTCAGTCTGTAATCCCGTGCCTTTGGGAGGCTGAGGTGAGTGGATTTCCTGAGCCCACAGGTTTGAGACCCGCTTGGGCAGGCGAGACCTCATCTCTACAATAAATCAAAAAAATTAGCCGGGCATGGTGGCGCGTGCCTGTAATTCTGGCTACCTGGAAGGGTGAGACGGAAGAATCGCCCGGAGCCCAGCAGGTCGAAGCTGCGGTGGCCGGGAGCGGCCACTGCCCTCCAGCCTGGGTGACAGAGTGAGACTCCAACTCAAAAAAAATAAAAAAAAAAAGAACTCCAAAACATCAAGACAGAGATGCAAACACTGCAAAGCCAAAGAGGGCACGAAAGAGAAGTGAGGGTTCAGAGGAGGGGCTGCCCACCCCAGGTTCCCCCCGCCCCCATCCCCAGCATTTCTTAGCACTTTTTTTCCCTGCATGCCACTCAGGTCCCAGGAAGTGTCAGTCCTCTTTCTGGGGCATACCTCCTGTCTCAAGTATCTCGAGCAAGGTCTCTGAGCATCTTTGGTTTGAGATGAGCCCAGGGAAAGCTCAGTAGGGTTTTCCGTGCCAGGCTGGGAAGTTTCTGCCAGCCCAGGGAAGAGCCCGCTCCAAGGGGCAAGGACGTCAATATTCTCCAACAGACCCCTTCTCAGCCCGTGGTCCAGGAGCCCATAGATGGAGGAGTAGGGAGACTGGGGACTGAGGGGATGGGTAGACTGAAACAGGTCTCCGGTGAGAAAGTGGGGGGTCCCTGATTTCCCTCCCAAAGTGATCCCTTGTGTGGAGCAGCTGGAGAGTGACGGGGGTGCCACAGGCTTAGGGTTCCTACCCTCTAGCGTGAGAAGTTGGCCCAGTGCTGAAGTCAGAATTGTCTCTCTCCTAGGTGAGGGCCAGGGGCAGAGAGGCATCGTCTACGAAGCCTCCACCTGGTTTCTGATCGGCAGAAAGGCGCCCTGGCCCCAGCCCCTGCTGAATGGAGCCAGGCAGGAGCCCAGGATCACCCTTCCCAGCAACCCCTCTGCCCTTCTTCCTCAGAAACTTTGGCTAAGCTGGGAAATGCAGCGGGGGGGAGGGGAGGGAGCGCACAGGGGAGGAACCACCAGGCAGGGTCCACCGCTCCTCCCGCAGCTGGTCTCCCTCGGGTTTTCTGTTCTTTCCTGGAGGGGGGAACCCTCCGAATTCGGGGCGGACCCGGGGTAGGCAATGTGCGGTTGGAAGCCCCCCTGCTTACCCATGCTGCTAACTGACGAGTTTGCCAGGAGCAGGCAGAGGCCAGGCGGAGAGCTGTGCTGGTGTCAGAGGCGGCTGTGTCAGGGAAGGAGAAAAGGGAGGAAATTTATACAACCAATTGGGGTGGCGCAGGGCAGGAGGAGGACCCTGGCAGCAGTCCAGGGCCCAGGCAGCTGGTCAGGGTGCGCTCAAGAGGCCTGGTGCGATTGGTGTTTGAATTATGGGGTGTGTGTGTGTGTGTGTGTGTGTGTGTGTGTGTGTGTGCGCGCGCCTGCCTTTATGTGCCTGTGTGGGAATTTGTTTTTGGTTTTTTTTGAGTTGAAGTCTCACTCTGTCGCCCAGGCTGGAGTGCAGTGGCACGTTTCCAGCCACTGTAGCCTCGACCTGCTGGACTCCGGCAATCCTTCCGCCTTGGCCTTCCAAATAGCTGGAACTACAGGCATGCGCCACCTTGCCCGGCTAAGTTTGTGGTTTATTGTACAGATGAAATATTGCCACGTTGCCCAGGTTGGTCTCAAACCTGCGGGTTCAGGCAATCATCTTGCCTCCACCTCCCAAAGTGCTGAGTTTACAGGCGTGAGCCACCAAGCCAGCCTGGTCCCCTTGACCTTGAAGTGGAAGGCAGTTGGCAGTGCCTGGTATCACACTCTGTGCCCTTATGAGCCTCAGGAGGTGAAAGCAGAGGGCCTCCCTGTCATTTCCCTGCCTGGTGCCTCTGGAGCTCCCAGGGTCTGGGTGGTGGGGCCCAAGCCCAATACAGTGCTGCTGGCCCGAGGTGACCTGTAGCCAGTCATAAAACTTTCAGGGTCACCAGGCATGGTGGCTCACGCCTGCAATCCCAGCACTTTGGGAGGCCAAGGTGGGCAGATTGCTTGAGCCCAGGAGTTCGAGACCAGCCTGGGCAGCATAGTGAAACCTTGTCTCTACAAATAATAAAAAAATTAACAGGGTGTGGTGGTGCACACCTATAGTCCCAGCTAATTGGGAGGCTGAAGTGGAAGAATTGCCTGAGCCTAGGAGGTTGAGGCTTCCTTGAGCCATGATCATCATGATCTTGCTACTGCACTTCAGCCTGGGCAACAGAGTGAGACCCCAACTCAAAAACAAAGCCAAAGCAAAAAACTCTCCAGGTCTCTATCTGTGAGGGAGCCTTCCAACTGGAGATTTAGTGGCTGCCCAGGGTGCTGAACCCGCTGATATAATATTCCAGGGACATGCCATAACCTCCAGGCAAATGCCTACCAAAGCAGGGTTGAGGTGTGATCCCACTAACTCCCTTTGGAGCTGCCCTTATCTAGAAAAGCCAGAGTTTGAAGGGCTAGACGTGGGTGAGCTCAAAGAAACCCACCCAGCTTGGTTTCCATCTGGAAGACAATGGCCCCCGTCTCCTGTCAGCTGGCCACTTGCCCAGGGAAACCTCTCCCCACTCCCCTAGGAAACTTCTGTGTCTGCAGAAACCACTTTCATCTCCTTAGATGAAAGCTCTGGGCTGAAGTTTTTATTGGATTGGAAAAAGGATAAAGTTTGGGCTTGAGATGATCCATAGAAAGAGCTAGAGTCTCCAAACAGGATTGGAGGGGGTTAAAACTGGGTCTTGGTGCAACGGGCATCTGTCCTCCTGGTTCCCCCGGTGAGGCTCACGGGTCCATCAGGGAAGACCCTCCGTGGCTGCCCAGGCAGGTGTCTTCTTTTAATCCCAATGCCACTCAACCCCTTTGGTTCTGTCCTGTGTCTGTCGTCCTTACCGGTACGCCATCAGCTGCCTTGTGTGTGCAGCTGCCCAAGGGGGGAGGCTCTGGAGCCTGCTTCCTGGTCTTTACCAGCGTCCTGGTCTCCTGGCTACCGGCACTCACACTGTCTTCCTCCACTCCACCGGCTACCTCCTCTTCCTCCTGAGGTCCCATCTCCTTATCTCCTACCTCCTTTCTGCTGCCAGTTTTTTGGCTTGAGGTAGCTTACCATCCAGGATTTAAAAGTGAAAGAAACCTATCAAAAGTTGCTGAATCATTAACTACCAAAAAAAGCTGTCATTTTGTTTGTTCTGGAGTCTATCATTGACTACCAGTTTTCTCCCCCCTCACCCCGTCTCCCTCCCTCTTTTCCTCCCTCTCTTCTTTCCTTCCTCCCTTCCTTCCTTCCTTCCTTTCTGTTGGAGTCTCACTCTGTTGCCCAGATTTAAATGCATTGGTACGATCACGGCTCACCACAGCCTTGACCTCCTGGGCTCTGGCGATCCTTCCACTTCAACCTCCCAAGTAGCTGGGACTACAGGCACCACCATGCCCAACTCATTTTTTGACTTGCTGTAGAGACAAGGTCTTGCCATGTTTCCCAGGCTGGTCTCAAACTCCTGGGCTCAAGTGATCCTTCCACCTCAGTCTCCCAAAGGGCTGGGAGTACAGGCGTGAGTCACCGTGCCTGCCTACCCGTTCTTTTATGCCCCTAGCTCTGACCTGGCTGGTCTCTGTGGCTCCTCCACGGTACTCTAACCCCTGCCTGCAACTTTCTCCCTGAACTCTTCATGCTTTTGAGCCAGCAAGGTGGTTGGGGAAAGTTGTCCCAGCCTGGGCGACAGATGGAGGTCGTCTGGGGAGAGAGGTTAGGCTGATAGCAGGCAGAGAAGCCTCCAGGGCATCTTTGCTTCTGAACAGACAGGTTTGGGCTTCTATGGTAGATTGTGAGAGTTGCACCCCAATCAGCATGGTTATCTCCTAAGCACTCCTAATTTTGTTTCTCAGGAGCTTAAGAGCTCCCTCCCCCATCTGATCTGGCCTACCCTGACCAATCAAAGCTGGGTGACTCCAGGCTTCACAGCAAAGGACACTGCCTGAGCTTGGAGGGATGGTCCTGAGTTTCCTGCTCTGGGCAGCTCCCTGCCAAGAGGGTTGGACTTCAGCTCCAGGTCTGCCAACCTTGGAAGGCCGTGTGGGTGGGGTCGAAGTTCATTTCTATTGTCTCAAGCCCCCAAAGAGCACCATATTAGGGGAGGTAGATTGTCAAAGGTGGACAACTGGCAAGTGTCCTGGCCTCTGTAAACAGGAAGTAGATTCCTAGACTGCAGGGGGCGGGGGCCTTGTTGCTCTGGAAGGGCGGGACCTATTGGTCCCCCTTTTTCTCCTACCTCAGCAGATTATTTAAGACCTCTTTATTTATTTATTTATTTATTTATTTTGAGTTGGAGTCTCACTCTGTTGCCCAGACTGGAGTGCAGTGGCATGCTCCTGACCACCACAGCCTTACCCTACTGGGCTCCGACGATCCTTCCGCCTCAGCCTTCCAAGTAGCTGGAACTACAGGCATGCGCTACCATGCCCGGCTAATCTTTTGACTTATTGTAGAGATGAGGTCTGGCCAAGTTGCCCAGGCGGATCTCGAACCCGTGGGCTCAGGCAATCCACTCACCTCAGCCTCCCAAAGCGCGGGATTACAGGCTGAGCCACCGAGCCTGGCCACTTAAGTTCTCTTTAAACAGGTCCTGAGACCATTGATGGGTGAGATGTGGAAGTGAAGAAAGACAGGCTAAATCTGGAGAAGGGAAGGGTGATGATAAATTTTGGAGTCTTTATGAATAATTTAATACACACACACACATGTTTTTTTTAAAAAGAGCCAAGAGCAGTGGCTTCACGCCTGTAATCCCAGCACTTTGAGGCTTGAACTCAGGAGTTTGAGGCTGCGTGGGTAACAGAGCAAGACCTTGTCTCTCAAAATAAATAGATAAATAAATGAAATTCTCAAATTAAACTTAGTGTTTTTGTTTGTTTTTTAGATTAAAAAATAGAGTTTATTTAGAAAGCCTGTTGGACAGAGAGAGGAGATTCACCTCCCCAAGGTAGGAGAGGGGGCCAAAGCTTAGGAAACATAGCAGCCATAACTCAAAGAACCACGTGGCTCGACCAGGGTTTAGCAAAGCCATGGCCTGTTTTTTTGTTTTTGTTTTTTTTTGAGTTGGAGTCTCACTCTGTCGCTCAGACTGGAGTGCAGTGGCCGCTTCCGGCCATTGCAGCCTCGACCTGCTGGGCTCCGGCGATCCTTCCGCCTCAGCCTTCCGAGTAGCTGGAATTACAGGCATGCGCTACCACGACTGGCTGATTTTTTGATTTATTGTAGAAATGAGGTCTCGCTGCCCAGGCGGGTCTCGAACCCGCGGGCTCAGGCAATCCACTCACCTCAGCCACCCAAAGCGCAGGATACAGGCTGAGCCACCAAGCCCCGCTGCCTGTTTGTTTTTTTGAGTAGGCGTCTCACTCTGTTGCCCAGGCTGGAGTGCAGTGGCTGCTCTTGACCTTGCCCTGCTGGGCTCAGGCGATCCTTCTGCCTCAGCCTTCTTAGGAACCTCAGGCATGCACCACCATGCCCAGATAATTTTTTGATTTATTGTAGAGACGAGGTCTCACCAAGCTGCCCAGACTGATCTCGAACCCCTGAGCTAGGCAATCCTCTTGCGTCCACCTCCCAAAGAGCTGGGATTACAGGCGTGAGCCACCACACCTGGCAAACTTAGTGTTATAAACCAAAATGAAAGAGAAGCAGAGAAAGTCCCGTAAGACGGAGTGGTGTCAGGGCAATTACTAGCAAGAATCAGCCCTTGCTGGCATCAGTTCATGTAACCTCTGACACAGTTTTGTAGGTAATCCCACCCCCATTTTTACCTATGAGGAGACTGAGAATCAGAGAAGGCCAAAGCATTCCCACCCAGATCCCTTTGACTCCGGAGCTCTGGGGTGTTCCAATCACTCAAGGCTATTTTGTGTTTTGGGGGTTTGTTTCTGTTTTGCTTTGTTTGTGGCTTGAGGGGAAGAGGGAGTGGGAGGCAGAAGAACTAGAAGGCACATGGTGTTCTCACTCATAAGTGGAACCTGAACATCATTCACAATAGCACAAGGGAGGGATTGGCAGTCCCAGGACACTGCCAGGGGAGGGAGGAAAGGGTTGGGCTTGCTACAACACAAACGGCACCTGATCCTAAACCAAGGGAAGTAAGGACCAGTTAGAGGCCCGACCTTCACCTCCATCACATTACCTATGTACCTAATCCTGACTGGTACCCCACATCTTTACAATAAAATAAAGTATG